AGACCAACGACATGGATTATTTAGGGGACAAAAGTCAGGTAACCCAGCTTTAATTGTCTATCACGCACATAGACAATTACATGGTCACATGTTGGTGTAAAAGTGATGCCGTTAAAAGGTGGGATTCTGCTAATAGACATAAACAACAGGATGTGTTAAGATCAACAAGAGCTGTAACTTCCCACTGTGACTGTTGTACCCCAGGCCAAGTCCAAAATAAATATCCCACAATGCTTCAGCTGTTGGAAGAAAATACAAAGTACTATATCCATTATTAGTTTAAATCATTGTGCTATAATGTAGGGCTTCACAGCGGATTGAGAGGAAATTGTCTGCATTCAGTGAAATAGACCAACAACATTATGACCATTACCTCATACATAATCACAGATAAGCACTTTGGAAAATATGTCCTTATTTCACCTCTTTCCAGTAAGCGACCCCCATCTGATTCTCCTCCAGCCCAAAGGACAGAGCCCCCAGCACAAGCACAAAGTCTTTCCAGTGTTGCTCATTTGGGCCGATGACTGAACTCTACCCCCACTTTTCCAAACAAAGCGAGTCTCCAGATGTTTGACAACAGCAGGTTTATCCTTGAACTGGCTCTATACAAAAACTGTGGGCCTTTCCAATCACACTGTAATACCATTATCATAACTGGATCATGGTGAGAAAGGTGGAAAATGACGGTATTTTTGTATGATGTTTGTCTATTTTTTATCGTCTGTTTTTTAAATGTTTTATATGGACTTTTCTGTGTCTGAATTAAAGAATACAAAAAGTTTAATATGTGTTGTTTGTCAAACTTTAATATTAATGTAAAGCACTTTTGTGGGTAACTTTTTGTGCTGTAAAGGGCTCTATAAATAAAGCTTGATTATTTGAAGGAGGACATATTCACCTGTGTATTAGCTTAGCAGTTTAACATTAGTTTGTGAGCATGCCTCTTCTTTTACGAGATTAACTTTGGAGATGTATCTTTTGCTGTGGAGATAGTACACCTGCATATACCGGCAATAACTCTTAAGCATTAAAAGAATTTATAAACTAAATTATATGTTTGGTCAAGAGATATAAACACAGCTGTCAGACGCAGGATGGGGGGCTCTTCCTCTCACCATTACGGCCTTCATCCTCTTGATCGCTGCTCTAAAACTGGGTCAGAAGGAGCAGTGAATAACTTTTTCCATCTTTCCACAGCGGCTGCGCAGACTATTCAAAAACTCACAAAGTTCCACAACGGAGATCTCACGTCCTATACTTTAGTAAAGGTGTTATGGTTTCTTTTTGTATGTCTCATTGTCATTGATGACTCAACAGGAAATTGCAATAAGCATATATTGAAGTTGAAAGAAACACTCTGAACCTCCTAACTTTGACCTTTTTGCAACAATTTTGAAACAGTAGGAGCTTGGGGTCAAAGTAAATGCAACAAGAAGCATAGCAAGGTTCAGAAAGCAGTCACAATGTGCAGACTAGAGGCACGTTCACACTGGACCATGTCTGTCTGGTTCACCAAGGGGAAAATTCTGGTTTACGTCCAAAAATGAGTGCACCAGACCAACAAGTGTGTCTATATGGCAACTTCAGGCTTGTTTGAGGGCTGCTTGCTTAGATTACTCAGAAGGATATCAAACCCGGGCAGACTTTAATCAGAGCGACACATAGCTGTAGGCTGCTTAAAGAGCTAAGACAGACAGAGTGCAGACAGACTCCCAGACAGACAGACACAGACAGACAGACGCAGGGTAAATTTAACTTCTCCTCACAAACCCAGGCTCCTGTGGATTCTCCATAATGATCCCCCACACTGATTACTACCTCCACAGTCTTCACAAATAGCAGCCTGCAGCTAACTGAAGTCTGAGGCTACTTTCAAAGTTCGGAGAGAAATTGCATCAGATCCGAAGCACATGGATGGAAAAACGTGGCCCATGTGTGGTGCGTATGTGGACCGCACCAGAGGCCAAATATCTGTAACTCAGCACTATTGCTCACATATTATTTTAATACCGCGAATTTGAATGAATGAGTGCATTGAGTAATAGGGCTGCACAATTAATCGCAACCAGTTGAAAACCAAACATTTCATGGTTGCAATTAGCGAATCACAAACACTGCATTTTGTTTCACTGCAAAACTCTTTTTGTACATAAAAGGACTGAATTTAAGCAAAAGATCACTTGAATATGGGAAAGTATGTATTTATTTTGGGCATAATGTCAATGAAATGACCACTGTATCTTTGGTCTAGTTCTCAAATAGCATTCTCATTCCGAATGTTCTCATCTTTTTCATTTATCTAAGCAAAAACTGCCAAAATGTATGTATATGTGAAAGTTTGACCAGAAAACCTTATTTCAGTATTTATTTATCATTTGGTTTGTATTTGTTTTATTTTATCTATACTAGAATAAAGTTGGTAATACTATATATAGGTCAGAGCTCCATAACCATTTACTGAAATGAGTGGGAATTAGGAATGAGGTGATAACTACATATTCACAGTTGTTAAATGTATCGCTCCTTGAAGTATTTTTTATTTTTTTTAAGTACAACATTATCTTTTTAAAATTGGATATAATGACTCTTCAGTATTTGTTTAGCACAGTGCTCATCAGGAAATGAAAGACCACCTGGAGATCCTGCACCGCACCTATAGTACTACTATATATACGCAGTACAAAGATATTAACATTTCCCTAGTAAGGCATGGTAGTGCGGGTTACAATGTCTCGCTCTATGCTCCCCACACATTCAGGCCTGTCACTGCAGACACAAGCAGCATTCAGGCCGAGAGAGGAGCGGGATGCCCTGCTCCAGCGGAGAACAGGCGCTGCACTGTGAGCACACTCAACAATCTGTTTGCCCTTGACTCCACCGGGTGTGCATACGCTGAGAGAAATAATATTGTGGCAGGATTATAGCCGGTGTCAGCTTCATAAGCACTGCAGGCTCTTTATTTGAAGGTATGTAGCTCATTATGTAAGCACCAGGCCAGGAGTGTGCACGCAGCAGCAGCAGCAGCAGCAGCAGCAGCAGCAGCAGCAGGCAAATGTCTTTCAGAGCAAAGAGTTCAACATGTGCGGGCAACAAGCTGCTTCAAAGAGCTCAAAGATCATTCACAACTATATAGAGACCTCACGTTCCAGGTATAAGCGGTGAATCAAACCAACAATAGCATATGAATCGAAGGAGCACCTATTGTCAGTTTGAAAATTATCATGACATGGTTCTACCTAGAAGTACCTGAACACAATTGTATCCAATGCGTCACAAAACAAAACCTATCCCTACATGACGTCGAGGCATAATGACGCTCCACTTTCAATGCGACTTGCGTTCCACAACCTGAGAAACTTGATTGAGCACCTAAAGAGGCCGAGAAAAGGGAAAGGCTTCATTCTGTACTAACAATCAGGAAGCACACTGAGAGGATTGACATAGTTGTGAGGAATCCCATGTCAACAGGCAGCAGAGGGGGCACATTAACCTTGGGAGGGGGTCCAACATTCAAACACTGGGGTCTTGTTGGGCCACACATAAACCCCCATTCTTGCACACACACACCAACACACATACTATTCATACTTTACTATATTTAGCACTCGGGGGAGTAACAGGATTTAGCACAACCTGCTTTGCACAAATTTAAGGGTGTGTGAAACTATATGCAAATCCAGACTTTTTTCTATTGCGCTTTGAATAAGGAACAGTATTGGTGCATTTATAGCTACATAGTGGTCAGGGGCAAATGTATAGAACTGGTAGCGCAATATGAGATTTGATTTCCAATATAAAGCATTATTCAGGCTGGGTTATAAATATCAAATATGTTGAGAAATCAGACTATAAAACCGTTTGCTCTTTGTTCCTTTTCAAGCCAATACATTTTTGTCTTTAATTATACCGTTGAATATAGCTCACGACCAATGTTAGAACTCCTCGCACCACGCCTCCCACAAAATTATTGCACAGCTGCAGTTGAACTTTTCCTCTGGTATTTGACAAGCAATGTAGCCTCAGGACCGCTTTAGAAGCCTTCGCTGAATCTGGGGCTTCACAAGTCTTTACCTGCCCTTAGTTATCTCCTGAGGATGCAATGCCAGAGTTTGTGATTCTCTGAGATTATGCGTGTCCTCTCTTGGTCCTGCCAGCAGCTGGATTTCTCCTCAAGAATCGCTCCCCCTCCATTCTCCACACAAACACACACTCTCCTCAGACTTGGCCAACATCACAGTCCTGAAATCCATATGGCTGGAGCAAATACTTCAGCTTCTCTCCTGGTTACATAATGAAGCAAAAAGACTTTCTTCGACTGCTGAATATGTACTTCAAATAAAAGTGACTAGAATAAGTGCGTGGGTAGATGCTAAGGCTACCAAGGTAGTTTTGTGTGGAGCGATTACTTGTAAATTGGAGTGTACTTTTATTCACGTAAATCATATAACAATAGACGTCTAAATCAAAACATCTGGCAAATATTGTGTTTTCCCCCTTTCTTTTAACAGAAAAATCCCATTGAGATTGATTTTTATCCAAGGGTGTCCCGGCCAAAAGCCATTCACAATACAACCCTCGAAAACATGTATACAAAACATCCAATACCTTCAGAAAACAAACATGAAATACAATTATGAACGACAGGTAATTGATTGAATTTCCATTTTGTCAAAATAAGTGGCTCTTTGCGTGAAAACACATCTAAAACGTTCTGATATAACATTTTGACTGATATGAAACTATTTACTTGTTGTCATTCACAGATAACTTTTTTTTTTCTGCTGAGGTCTGGTGGACAGATGCTAACTGTTGCATCCTGGACCACAAGTTCCCAGGTTCCCAATGGAGAGCCAGGCGCACTCTCCCCCTCACACCAAGTTTTTTTTTTCAATTCTTAGTGCGTCACCTAAACTTTTCTCGCGTAATAAAGTGTGTTATTACAAACAATTGGCGACTTTTGAGTTTGTGGGAGTCGTGTGAAGTTTCATACTACTTACGTTTGTGTACAGAGCGCAGTCTATCTCCCCGTCTTCAGACAGCTCGCTCAGGTTCCTTTCCCAATGTAAAAATGGCTCACCACTGTCCAGCATCTCCATGATGATAGTTGTGAGGTGATGCTTGAAGTAATGAAAACGAGTCCCTAATCTCGGAATACTACAGAAAAAGACCTTCAAAACGTTAAAACGACTTTCCCCCCCTCAAAAAAACGGTGAACTTGCTCTTGCAGGAGTACACGCTCAAAGCTTATGGGCGTCTGATCTGAAAAGGCGTGTATTGGCGTGTGTTGTTATTGTATGTCATCTCTTCTTCGATTGTGGATCTATAGACTGGCTTCTTTTGCTCCTCAGTCCTCCTCCTCACACACTGACCAGACAGGCAGGAATTTATGGGGCGGGACTATATGGTGCATTGGGAAAAGCGCAAACCAGCTGCAGCCACAAGTTTAAAAGGCTTGTAAACTATCAGCTTTTCACTGGATAAGCATGTGGAGAAATACGCAGATTTTGACTTAAATAAACTGTGAACAGACAGTACTGGCTCTTGTGCGCAATATAAAACTTTAGAACAAGGGGAATTCGTGAACATATGTTTCCACAACGGAGTACAGAGGTGAGTCTGTGTTGTATGCCCCGCCTACATTTCCTGGTCCACCAATCACCAATCAAGAAAACAAACGCGATGCCCCCGACAAGCATGCCATTTAACCAATGGGAAATTAGGTGAAAACTTGCTAGGACCAATCACGTTAGGCCAAGAATACTTTGAGCATTTGTAGGTGGTTCTTTAAAAAAATAGACACACACAAACATAAAGACACAAAAAGAGAAACGCTTGTTGACATAAATGAGGGCAACATATTTATTCATAAACATATAAAAACAAACACAATGCATTATATCAAACTGTTAATGAACTGTTTATACATTGTTCATAACGCCAAGAATGAACAGAATAGTAGAAAAAATATAATGGTCAGGTAATAGTCTGAACCAGACAAGTGCTGTAACGCAGTCAAGTGAATGAGTTTAAACTGCTGTAAGTTTTTTGTATTTCTCATAAGGGGACATGACTAATATGTGCGTTAGAAAATGTCTAACAAACCAAATACCTGCAATTGTGAAAAGTTTTTGGTTTGAAAAAGACGTTCAAAAGAAGTGAAAAAAAGAGTGATTGAAACCAAACTTGCATCCACACATCTTTCCCCATTTAAAGGGCACAAGTTATTTTCCAGTATGTCACTTTGTAAAAGGCAAATTCAGGCAGGCACACATTCTCCACTGAAAGCAATGCCTTGTGGGAAGTCATGCCCAAAGAAAACTCTGCTCAGATTGTGGGCCTGCTTAGGGGCCATTTCACAAAAATAACTGTTTGAAACTCCAAACATAATGAGGAGGTGGCATTTAAACAACATGATCATCATATACGAACATAATCTTTGAAACCCTTCATGAAAGTTATCGGATTTCGTGGCAATCAGGTCTTATTTGAGACATCTCACGAACCAAAGGGAAACGATTAAAACTAAGTCATGTTCTGTCCCTTATGTTGTCGCTGAGGAAAACAATGTTATCTGTTGAGAGGAACACATCTAAATTAGCTTAATGTATGTGCAAATATTTTCAAAACACAGTCCTTTTCCAAACCTGCAATAATGGTGGTTGCCTGACGTCTGACTTGGTTTTTATCTACGTACTCTCCATAGTCGAGTTTTCCTTCCACTAGAATCCTGGAGCTATACAAACAATAAACAAAAAGAAACATATTTAGAGAGCTTTTAAAATGTATTTATTTTCTTATTCATCATGTTAATTTGCAGTTGGTATTCATTCTATAGCTTATTACATGTGCTTAGTTAAAAAAAAAACAATCACCATTCTCAAGCGTACATTCTTAAATAAATGTTGGACATTGAAAATGGAACGCAAACTTTGCTGAAGTACTTCTATCTCTTGCTGCATGTGTAGGGTGCACTGACAAGCTGGTCTTTAGACAACTATAAACTTAAAGCTTAAAGTTATACATACCCTTTTTTGACGTACTGGTAAGCTACGTCTCTCAACCCGGGTTTAAATATGGACACACGGTGCCAGGTCGTCTTTTGACTGATATCACCTCAAAAGAAAAACGTAGCATTAAAAAAGTCTAATATAAAAGCAAAATTCAAAAAACAATTGTCATCACAATTGTAGAAGTAGTGTACACAAAAGTAGTGTAGCGTTAACGAATGAATCACGCACACTACAAATTCTGGAACACTCTATAACGCCATCTAGTGTCAGTGAACCATTGAGTATTAGAGGCATATTGTATGGTCAGATTCTCTGCATGATCAATATGGACACTAGAAATCAACAACAACAAAATCACAGGTTGACAAAGTTACATTTTTGTCTTTGGAGAATGAAATTAGTTTCAATATTATGGCACAATTGGGTCTATCTCCTAATCTCCAGCAGTGCAGAGCAGAACAACTCAGTTTCACATGGCTTTAAGTAAATATAAAACGACGTTTTAGTTGGTTGAGGCAATGCAATTGTAATAAATGCTTTTTTAAAATCAATTAACTCAATCATTACATTCCGATTGCAAACAATTATTTTCTGCTTTGAAAATTTGCCATTTATAGGGGCAATGTCTTGCAGAAAGGCACAACAACAACACTTCGCCTAAACTTGAGTGGAGAATAACAGCTCCACACAAGAAACCATAATTGTTGAAATAATAAAGTGTGAAATAAGAATGCCTACCAGATCCTGGGTTAACCTCTCCTTCTCCAGAGCGCCACATTTCATTGGTCGCCAGTGAGAAGATTGTAACTGGATTTCGACCTTCAACTTGTCTCATTACTGGGTCCTGCCCAACTCTGCCCAATAGCTGCACTCGATTAATGGCTGAAGAAAGTGAGAGAAAACATTGTTGTTCAAACACACATCAAACACACCAATGCCAATACAGACACATGTACTTACATCTTTCTAGAATCAGACTTGGGTCTGTGCTTCTGTGCCTCACCATCTGTCTCATGATCTATATATGATTTGTAGCAGACACAGATTCAGAACATAACAAGACACATCAGTAATGTTCCTCTCCTCACCTGTGCAGATGCTTTTCTTAACATTTTGAAAAATTGCTTGTGTAAATGATCCTGCAAAGAAGATTACATTCAGTTTTATTTTTGATAACTAATATCAAAAGATGATGATTCTCGATTATTCATCACATGGAAGGAAGACTTCAGTAACAGAGATTCTCGCGCCACCTTTTCTGAAGTAACATATCCGATATTTTATAAGTCCATTAACCGAAACAAGAAGGCATTTTGCAGAGTTATTTATATAAAACATATAATATAGGTGCATAGACTGGAAGGTTCATACAGTTGTAGTACTCACCAAAAAGAGACACTCCACAAAGTTGTTTCAGTAACCCCACGCTGCTTCCGGTGCGCCTTGATAAACGGGCCGTCTACCACATAAAGCATCAACAGTTCCTTCCGAGTAAAAAAAAATATCAGAAAAATCCACAGATTTATAAATCTTTGAAAATATCATGGGGCTAAAACAGATCCATGTAAAATATTCAGACCACTTCTTCACGATACAATAATGTGAATATTGTCAATAAGGGCCGCTCTTAGGTAGGTATTTGGACATGTGATAAATAATAATATAGTGCGTACGCCCAAAGAAGACGCTTCAAAAGGCATTATTATTTATTCACTCCATATACTGTGGTGGTAAACATCTTCTGCAGCTACAGCAGCCTTGAGGCAGACTGGCGGAAACGAGGCAACTAATCTGTGTAATCGGCCCCTCTGCCCACCACCTATTGTTCACGCACACATCAGACTCATCAGACTCATACCCGTTTCGTATAGTGATGAAATGACCAATGGATGGAATATTTTTTTTTAATATTGACTTAGCAAGTGGACAATTTACCATTTCATTTGTAATACTTCTACTTTGCTTTTGTCATATAATTATTGCTTAGGTCTGGTGTTGATTCAGATCCTGCCTTTTCATGATAAATACGTGTTGAAAATTATTTTCTCGCTGTCCTCAAAGTGGCTTCAAAACTGCACTTGTGGTCCACATGCGTTACACATGCAGCAGAGGGCGCGCTGGGTTCCCTCCAGTTGAAAACAATGCGCTCTTAGATAAAGGCGGGGTATGAATGGGTCTGGTCGGTGGGATCGGGGTGGGATCATGAATGGGCTGGGAATGGGATGGGGACTAAAAGTTGAGACTATTCTGCAAATGTGCTATTTTAGTTTTACTTCACTCACAGAAACACGTCGCTGTAGGATCCACTGTCCAGGAGCAGGGATCAGCTGGACTCCAAACCCGAGATGCTTCTTCAGCTTCTAACTCTGAGTGAGTGCTTTCTAATTTGCTTTTGTTGACAGAACTTTGTGACTAACTTTGACAGATGTTTAACTAAAAACATTATGCGATCAAAATGATTCTCCCCTGAACAATAATAGACATAAATAGACAGCAAACATCAGTATTTTGACATCTTAACTACCAGAAATGAAAACCATGTGAATGTAATTTAAATGTGCAAAGGAAAACAATGCTTGTCTTGAGTCATCTGATTGCTTAAGACTGCTCTTCTGTTTTAACCCTCAAAAAATTGCATCACCAGGGTTGTATTTATTTACTATTCTTTCAGTTCTGTGGAGTCCAGCCTGGGCCCAGCAGTTTCCTGAGTTCCCAGATGTGTGCACAGAGGGCAGCTGCTACCCAGCCACAGGTGACCTCCTGATCGGCCGAGCTCACAAACTCAGCTCCTCATCGACCTGTGGCCTGAAGCAGCCAGAGCGCTTCTGCATTGTGGGGCATCTGGAGGTAAGGACTTTCATTTAGGCATTTGATTGATTTTGAAACTACTTAACGCACTGATGCTAATAAATTAAAACATGCATTATAAAAATCAACTACAGTATTAAAAAATAATTGGTCATAATGCACCAACTACAAATTAAATCTCTATTATTTTTTATACAGAAAATAGCAAAAGCCACTTTTGCAAATAAAAGGTACAGACAATAATTATTGAGTTGCAAATAAATTGTTTTATCCATCAGTTATTGTAGGATAAGTTGATATAGCAATGATCGTGACAGTCCTGACTTCAGAATTCCAACAGGACCTTTGGCTATGACACCATAGCACCACAGTAGTCATGGGTTATGAATGAGCCCACTGGTAATTAGATAAATTAGGCTGCGCTTGTATTGTGTGTTTTTGAGACATTGGGGTTGTAAATAAGTAATATCACATTGCATTTTTAAAAGAAGATATTTGCTGAAATGCTTGAGAAACTAAAAACATGTGCATGCAACTACACTATACTATACTCGACCACAGCATCCGCCTGCTGTCTCAGTGAGTGGGAGTAACATTCCCATCCACAATAAAGAGCTGTATGCATCACAATCCCTGCCCTGTCTGCATGGACTCATCAGGGGTTCAAGAGGGAGATTCTCTTTTTATCAAACAGCCTTTGGCAGTCCTGTTGTGTGAATGGAAGCCTTATGATATCATGGACAAGCAAAATGCATTTACTGCTTCAGAGATAAGCAAGTATGAAGAGCAGGAAGTCCATAGAAGTTGTCCAGCTTCAAGTAGCTACTTGGTCACAGTTCAGCGTGTTTGCCACAGGCAGGCTCAAAGTGGAGAATTCTTGTTTATCCACACATTGTAAGTCCAAGATTTAAGATTGTGCAGATGTGTGTGTGGGAACTAGAGTATAGTTTGTGTGCACGCCAGACCATCTGTTGAGAAACTAAGCCCCTTGACAGCATGAGTGAGAGCACCGGTAACCTCACATAAACACCATTAATCTCATGTGTTTCAGTTTGGTATTGAGGTATTTGTAGTATCTTAATAAAAAAGAACATAATGTTTCAAGGTTCATAATGCAACTTTTCTGGTGGAGCGTGCTGTGCACCACTCGTACATCAGTATATGGTCTTTACCATATTTAGCCACATCAGAGATCAACAAGAAAAATAAAAATATACTTGAGGCCCCAAAAGCCCTGGTCATGTCTATAGAGAGGAGAGGCCCTGCACTGTACAAATTCATGGTTTTACTGTATAGGAAAAAGCGCCCCTTCTCTTTCTTGCGCTCATATTCTTTATTTGCTATATTTGTATTATTTAATATCATTAAAACACTATAACATCTATAACATACATAGATCATGAAGCCCTTGAAAGCACAAAAACACAATTGATATTATTTGTTTTTCTATCCTTTTTTTAGGAAGAAAAGAAATGCTTCCAGTGTGATTCTCGACGGATGTACGACGAGCACAGAAACTCCCAAAGCCACACCATCGAAAACGTTGTCACCACTTTCGCTCACAATCGTCTCAAGACCTGGTGGCAGTCAGAAAACGGTGAGAAAATTCCTGCTTTAAAACAAGGCCTAATGTGAGACACAGCCATGAGAACGGAGCGAGCTAATGACTGGACTAGGACTTCACACAGACATTCACAGGAGGGCAAAGGGAGGGGCCAGAACCAGATGTGTGTAAAATAAAAGTGAAATAAAGAACCTTTACAAAGAATCACACATTTTGGCCACTTTATAAAGATCTACATGCTTAGAAAAAATGTTTTATAGCTGGGGTACATAACTTTAAAACCAGAAACAAGCTACCTATGTAATAAAATGACGAACTCGCTCCTGGCTGCGTGTGTTTTTGGCCTCACATCTTCAGCTCTCAGCCTGAGCATGTTGTGGTTTGATTTTTTCACAACATTTTACTTTCTGTAAAAAACGCTTTCTGTTGGGGCAAACAAAAGGTATTATTTATGAATTAAAAAGGTTTGGTATTACCCCATCTTCAACTCAACATTTGCAAAGGAAAGATTAACCCTCAGCAAAACAATACGACCAACACACTTCTAAAGCAACATTCCATTGTTTCCGTGTATAGGATTAGATGCAAGCCTGGGAATATTTTGTTGTGCATGAGTTTCCTGTTTCCCATGGACACACTTATTGTTTTCTATGCACAAAAGCATCCAAAAAGCTTACAAGAATATACAAAGAAACATGATAGAAAATGTTTGTGTCTGCTTGGATTGAAATTGTGGCTTAATGGTGAAATGGTGGCTTGATACAAATGATTATTCAAGCCCATAATTTTGCGTTGCATCGCCTCAGAAGCTCAGAAGGAAAGAGCTGCTGCTGTGAGTGGGTTAGGAAATCCCACACTCAGCCAGTTTCCTGCTGTTTCAAAGCCATCTGCATCCATGAACATATGACGCAGCCCTCCAAGTGAATCTCGTCACTTCAACATAAAAAAATGTGGAGAGCAGAGTTGTGTTTTCCACTGAATTGTAAATAACACCTTTTATTGAGCAATAAATATTTGAGCAGCCTGATTTTAATCTTTGTTTTTTTGGATCAGGTCAAGAGAATGTTACTATCCAACTGGACCTGGAGGCTGAGTTTCACTTCACACATCTCATCATGACTTTCAAGGTTCTTGCTACGTTTTTTACTATGTACTTAAAACACAGTAATGTTTGCCATAAAAGCCAAGAGTGATAAATGCAACGCTGGACAGCTGTAGTTAGGGAATGTGTAGAATGGTTCTGGTCTCTGGAGGACAGTGGGAACGAGGAGGGGTTTTTAGGAGCAGAAAAAACTACCTCCGCAGCACTGGTGGCCATCTGGTTCCACGCCTGTCATCAACACTGACACTGTTTGTCATTGACCAGACTCATGCTGCACATCCTTCTCAGCTCTGCTCATGCTACAGTATACATAGGAGGCCTATCTTCCCTTCTTGCCCTTTTTAACCATACGCAAAGACTATGGTGTAAAACTATAATGTCAATCTATGTCATTCCAGCAGCTAGAAACAACACAATAAAGAGATTTTGTGCAAGTGCAAACGTGATCAAATCAAATCAATTTTATCTGTATTGCCCGAAATCACAACAAGAGTCGTCTCGAGGGCCGCCAACTCCCAACGGCAGGCTGGGGACTAGTCCAGGGAGTCCAGGGTTTTGAGTCCCACCAGTGCGTTCATGGAATAGACAGAGGGTCAACGGGTGAACAACAATGCACAGACAACATTTAAGCATCAAGTAAAATTGACCGTGAAAACAAGGTCTACTCATCCGGCAGCCCGTGGATGTTACGGATCAAAAACAGATTAAAATGGACAGTTGGAAAAATTAAATAAATAATAGTAAGGGAGTCTGGTGCATCAGTCATTTAACGTGCATTCACAACAGATGTGGATTAATAAGTGTATGTGGCATTAGAAAAAAATCAGTTGTGTATATATGGGGCATTATTAACGGTTGTGTACTGTATGTCTGAGGCATTGATTGATAAACTGGAGGAAATGGTCTGAAAGTACAGGCATTGTGGTCAAAACGTCTTATGAATAAATAAATAATCTGCAAATTGAGAGTGCAATGCTTTCTTTAAACTTTGTGTTATTTTTTTCATGCATCCGCGCCTCACAAAGACTCTTTTGGTGTGCACACAATTAATATGCCATCTATATAAATAAGTGATTATTTATTTACAGACATTTCGTCCTGCTGCAATGGTGATTGAGAGGTCCATGGACTTTGGGAATAAATGGCAAGTGTACCGCTACTTTGCCTATGACTGCAAGTCCTCCTTCCCGGATGTGTTCGCTGGGCCAATGGTCAAAGTGGACGACATTATCTGCGACTCGCGCTACTCTGATATCGAACCATCTACAGAGGGAGAGGTGCATCTTACTATCTTTATAAAGCACCATTACCACATATATTATCACTAGAAAACTGTATTTCTCTGTATTTTCCATCTTGCAGGTGATCTTCCGCGTGCTAGATCCAGCTTTTGAGATTGAAGACCCCTATAGCCTGAGGATACAGAGTAAGCTGTGTACAACATCAGCATCATACCAGTCCCATGCAATACTGGCCCCCCTTTTAACACTTTTATGAATGAAACAGTGTAAACTACAACCCAAATATAGTACAACATTAATCTTTGATCGTCTGCAGTCGGGTAACACACACTTGATTTACAGCTGAAGGGTCAGAGAGAAGAGACAGAAGGAATTTCACGCAAGGAAGTGAAAATGCCTCAGTATAGCACAGGAGATTCATGTTTGTGGCAAATGGTGTGGACATGGATTTTTCGCACGGTTGGACTGTGAATTTTTTTTTATTATCAAGTGAGCCAATCTTGTGTCTCAACTTGTCTTTATAAAGTGACACAGTAATGGAAGGACGGTCATTGAAGGGTGATCAATATGTGGATAAATCAACACGAGAGAGACCAGTCACTGATATTTAGTTAGAAGTGTATTATGACATAGTATATTGCTTTGTATTGACAATATCAACCCGTCTCCAAAGTAGTAGAAATTATACATGAGGTTCTGAATCCAGGACCATTTCTTTACAGTGACCTGGCTTCCTCCGAAGATTCCCTTTTCTTACATATTTTAATTTCTGTAATTGGTGTGAGTAGTCCTCTATCTCTTAGATCTTTTGTCTATTTAACACATTTCTGAAAAATGTGTGGGGCCTAAAAGGTTGTATAGTATGCTGTAGTTTGAAAAGTGAGTCTGATCTGGTTTGTTTGTTTACAGACATGTTGAAGATCACAAACATCAGAGTAAACTTTATCAAGTTGCACACGTTGGGCGACAACCTGCTGGACTCTCGTGATGAAGTCAAGGAGAAGTACTACTACGCCCTGTTCGACATGGTGGTCCGGGGGAACTGCTTCTGCTACGGCCACGCCTCGGAATGTGCGCCGATTGATGGAGCACCAACAGGAGCTGATGGCATGGTACATCCAACCACTCACAGCTTTTAAATAGATATCTTTGCATGGAATAATAATAAAAAATGCAACTCTCCTATGGTGGTAGAAAAGGAAGTTACAGGTACATGGTTTACGCATGATTATTGTTTCACCATGTTTTCTACGACTATTATTTATTATTCCAAAACTTGAATTGAAAAGTATACTTATAATTTTTTCTGACAACAAAAAAGCTTTAATACATTTTTATAAATCTTTTTTTCTGAGAATATTATTTTATCATGTAATAAAGCACATTTGCCAATGGAAGTTTGAACGAGAAAAATAAGTAATTCAAAAAACTGATCTCAAAATCATTGAAAGAAACTTGCTACATTGGAAAATATTAATTTGAGTAAATTGTATTAAAATCAAGATATGTTTTCCTTAATTGAAACTATTTTAGTTTATTGTTTAAGTACGTTGGGTTTTTTACAAGGGACTTGAATAATTGCATGAATGTCTTTGTGGATTTTCTAAATGCCTCCACTAAATTACAACGATGAATTGATGCAATTTAATCTTTGCTCATCATAAACGTCCTGCAGGTTCACGGTCGCTGTGTCTGTAACCACAACACTGAGGGTCTGAACTGCGAGCGCTGCCAGGACTTCTACCATGACTTGCCGTGGCGGCCCGCCGAGGGTCGCAACACACATGCTTGCAAGAGTAAGTTTTTCACATTTATTTGATCTGTCATGTCATTTTTTATGCTCATTTTCCCATGAAAACAAGTATTACATGTGTTTAATTATAAACATACCATTGCATTGTAAAACAAATAATCTAATTGATATTATTAGAATTTGGGTCATACAGTATCATATTATTCATATAAATTGCATAATAGTAGTCAACCTAAAAAAAAGCATGAACTAATTTTCATCAAAATGAAAAACAATAATTTGGTCAAAATACCAACATAATGTACACAAATGAATGCATTAATTCATTGAAATAAGCAGAAGAAAAAAATGGGCTCAAACTTTCCCCAAAGAAAATGACCTCCTTGTTTAACAGTACAGCCTCTCTTGCCCTGTGAATCCCAACAGGGCAAAAGAGGTTGGAAACCACTCTTAACAACAAAAACTCATTCCCTCCTTCAATTCCAGAGTGCGAGTGTAATGAACACTCCACGACCTGCCATTTCGACTTGGCTGTGTACAAAACAAGTGGCAATGCGAGCGGAGGCGTGTGCGAAAGCTGCCAGCACAACACGGTGGGGCGCCAGTGTGAGCAGTGCAAGCCCTTCTTCTACCAGCACCCCAACAGGGACCTGAGGGACCCCAATGTGTGTGAACGTGAGTGACCGCCACACGGCCTCTGTCCTCCACTACTGCCCCTGTGTGTAACAATCATGTGTCTTGTGCATAAACGTTGACAGGTAACATCTGTAGCTGACAAAGCCTTTGAAGTTCGAGCATGAGGCTAATGACTGGGTGTGAGTGGCAATTTGAAACTGAAAATGCAGGCCACTACTGTTTTTACAATGCTCTTTAACTTCCTACTACTATTGTAAGACGTCTCTCAATGGTTCGTTTAGTTTATTATTAAGATCCCCATTAGCTGAGCCTAAAGCTGGGGTATCTAACTTTTTCAGAACACAAAGAATTAAACAAAAACTAGTCCCTCAGAAATGTATCTTGGCCTCTGTCACATTTTTAGATAAACTTTTTCAGACAGAGAAGAAAAAAAGAGAGGACCACCCACAGCCTCAGACAAACGAGTCAAATTAAAATAATTCAATATATGTTATGTATATAATATGTTTTCTCATAAATTGAAGATCCCATGTTGTGGTTTGATTTTCTCATGTTTTCAGACTTTCTATTGAACAAACTACATGGGTTATTCATGAAATAATTAAGTTTGGTACCCCAGCTTTAACAGCCAGCTACTGCTCCAGGCGTTCTATCTTAAAATACACATCAAAGTTCAAAACACTCATGTGAAAATTGATAAACATTGTAGAAAATACAGTGCGAAGAAAGTGCAAATTCCCCTTCATCTTAAAGAATGCTTCACAGATCTGCTTCAAAAGATGTAAACTGACTTCAGTGACTTGGGGACACTGTTTGGGCAGACAGCTGAGTCTTGGTAGATTTGCAGTTGTACCATATTCTTTTCATTCATAGATGATGGGTTAAACAGTGCTCTGTGAGGTTTTACATCCACAAGTTAAGATTGTTTTTTTGCCCCAAGTGAACCAGTAAGTACAATTAATATATGGGTATCTCATCCATACTTAAAAACCCTTTTCATGTTGTCATATATCACCAACCTGAAAATCTTTGCTGAAGTTTAAGTATGCATAAATACAGGAGTTGTTTGTGTTTCTTTCCACAGCGTGTAACTGTGACCCGTCCGGATCTCTTCATGGAGGTTTGTGTGACGCTCGCACCGATGTTTCTGCTGGACTGATCTCAGGTCAGTGTCGCTGTAAAGCCAACGTGGAGGGAGAGCGCTGTGACCACTGCCGCCCCGGACACCACGGCCTGGGAGAGGGGCCCGAGGGCTGCCTGCGTAAGTCACTGCATAACATCATACTTTATTATTATTATATGAAAACGTTTGAAATATGCAGATTATAGAAAAAGGCCCATTTTCATCAGAGACAGTTAAAATATATTATTAAGATATTTCAAAAATATTTCTATGAGCATTGGGTGGCAGCTCTGATTGTCACCCCCCTGACCCAGAAATGGAGTAATAAAGGGGTAGAAAATGAATGAAAGAATGAATGAATGATAACAAACAGTAAAGAGTGTAATACATTTATACTACATTGAAGTTTTAACAAAAACTACAAAACATTGCAAAAACTTTAGCAGGTGGGGCTGCAGCTATTGATTATTATAGTATTCAAGTGTTATATTGATTATTACCTTTGAATAATATATGTATTATTTATTATTTTATGCTTTATACTCTTTTTTAATGCATTGTGGTTATTTACTATTTTAATCCCGTGTGTGTTTTTAATGTTTTAAGGTTTTTTCATTACTTGTGATTTTATTCTGTTTTTTAATGTATTTATTGTTTGTATATGTAGATTTTGATGTTTCTGATTTGTCTGATATTATGTGGGTTGTGAGGTTGTTTGAGTGGCCTTGTGTTGGAAAGGCGCCATACAAATAAAGTTGATTGAGTGATTGATTGATTTAGAATCATTCATATTTTAAACAAACAATCCTGAAATATTATTTAAAACAGCATACTTCTTAAATAAGCCTTCAGAGTGGTGTTAGCACCAGTTTCACATATTTTTAAATAGTTAAACAAATTATCCAATTATTTCTACCCTAATAGTTCTACTTTATATTTTATTTAGATTTAGTTTAGTGAATTATTTCTTTGGTTATCAACAAGGCAGCATCATTGAATGGAGGTGTAAATTGTAAGTGGTGGTTTGTTCAACAAAAATACACTTGGCCGTGTTTATGGTGGCAAAAACATTTGGCAACACTATAAGAATAACACTTGTGTAATTACTGTATTTTGGCAGCTTGCACCTGTAACCCACTGGGAACTCTGCCTGGAGGAAGCCCATGTGAACCAAGCTCAGGAAGTTGTTTCTGCAAACGCCTCGTACTGGGACACAACTGCGATCAATGCATGGTCTGTATTCTTTGATCATTCTGTATTCTTTTCAACATGTTCTTTCAGTTCTCAGCTGGAATATTTCCTTTTTTTTTTCAGCCGGAACACTGGGGCTTGTCCAATGATATGGATGGATGCAGACCATGTGACTGTGACCAAGGTGGTGCGGTTAATAATAAGTATGTTTATTTTAAAGGGTTGCAATGTTCATACCGTATTTACTGACCTTTTAAGTAATGAAAACTCATCTCTTTCCAGCTGTGACCCATACAGTGGACAGTGTGTTTGCCGGGAGCATATGTACGGTCGCCAATGTGACCAAGTCGAGTCTGGCTTTTACTTTATTGCTTTGGACCACTACACATATGAGGCTGAGGATGCCAATCACGGACCGGTACTAATCTTCATTTTTAAAATTCAGCATGACCTTTTCTAACAACTGTGCTTCTTTCTGTAGGGTGTCACTGTGGTGCCGAGGCCTTATCCTTTGGACCGCAGCCCTACATGGACCGGCATGGGCTTTGTAAATGTTCCTGAAGGAGCTTACCTTGAGTTCAACATAAACAACATCCCAGAGTCCATGGACTATGATATCCTTATCCGCTATGAGCCCCAGGTAATCTAAATACACACCCTTTGTACCACAAAATATGTGGCTGTTTTTCCAAAACTATGTAAGATTATGAGTATGTTTGATCTGCTGAATGTGAACACATGTGAACAGCTGCCAGAGCAGTTGGATCAAGTGAATGTGCGAGTCCAACGACCTGTCTTTAACCCTCCTAACTACTCCGGCCACTGCAGCAGCTCCAGCCGTGGAGCAGATGAGCAGTACCTTTCTCTGCCACCTGGATCTCGGTAAAACATGCAGACCAGTGGATTATTCACAGAGAAGACACTAAATATAAGTTATTTTTCAGACATGTGCAGCTGAATCGCCCTGTGTGCTTTGAAAAAGGACTTAACTACACAGTTCGTGTCAGTCTTCCCCGGTACTCATCTGTGAGAGACGACAACAATCCTTACACTCTTATAGACTCAGTGAGTCATGCTCAAAGCTGTATTTATTCTTCTGTCTATGTTTGTTGTTAACCTGCTCTTCTTTTATCTCTCAGTTGGTGTTGATGCCCCGGGTCAAGGAGCTCAACATATTCGATGGGACAGACGGAGAAGGGGCTTGGGACACCTTTCAGCGCTACCGCTGCCTTGAAAGCAGCCAGAGTGTTGTGAAAAGCCCTATGACTGACATCTGCAACGACTACATTTTCAGTGTCTCTGCGCTGCTTCATAAAGGAGCCATGGGTACGACTCAAGAGCAATGTTTTCATTAGAAGCCCTTTTCAATATTGTTTTAATGAATGTTTCTACTATTCCCTAGAGTGTCAGTGTGACCCACAGGGCTCCCTAAGTGCTGTGTGCAAAGCGAATGGCGGACAATGTCTATGTCGACCTAATGTCGTTGGCAGGAACTGTGAGCACTGTGCTCCAGCAACTTTCCTCTTCAGTCCAGCTGGCTGTCGACGTAAGACTGAAACAATGACAAAATATACACTATATAGTCTAATATATATTTTCTTTGTGTACCAGCTTGTGACTGCGACCCTCGGGGATCAGTCAGTGCTTTTTGTCATGAAGCTACAGGACAGTGTCAGTGTGTCCCAGGAGCCACTGGGCGCCAGTGTTCCCACTGTCTGCCTGGCTTTTGGGGCTTCCCGCACTGTAGGCGATGCCAGTGCAACGGGCACAGTGACTACTGCCATCCGCAGACAGGAGAGTGTCAAGAGTGCAGAGGTTTCACTGCAGGACATCATTGTGAACGGTACTCCCACCATCATTGAGGACAGCATTTAGACTTTTTTCAATTTATATACATCGGTAACCAAAAGTTTACAATTGAACATAATGAAACAATTATTTAGTTCTCGTTTTATTTGGTCAGATATTTTTACAAACCATATTCCTATTGACTCAACAGTGCAATGTTGAGAGAGGTAATTCTTCTGAAGTCAATATATATTCAGAATAAGGTCACAAATGTTTTTTACAGAATACGAATAATACATATTTTTATTATTATGGTTTGGATTGAGATGAATCATTTTATTGAAGTCCTCATGTTTAACACTTTGAGTTGCAGATGTTCGGATGGTTACCACGGTAACCCTGAGCTGGGTTCTGGGGGTCACTGCCGCCCCTGCATGTGCCCAGACGGTCCCCGCAGCGCACGGCAGTTTGCTGATAGTTGTTACCATTTGGACCACAGTAACCAGCTGGTGTGTGTGTGTAATCCCGGATACAGAGGTCAGTGAAAAAACAAAACATCTCATGACTTCTAAGAACCTCCAAGTTAAAGCTGGGGTACCTAACTTAATTTCATTCTTACAGAATACATGTTGTTTGTCCGTACTGAAAGAATAATGTAAAAAATAATGTTGTGAACAAATAAGACCACAACATAAGGTCTTCATCTTCATCAGAAAACATGTTATCTTTTGCATACTTGTAGGAAAAAGTCACTGTTGGACTCTTTGGGCTGAGAGCTGATTGGCAGATAGATAGATCATCCATGTAAACATCAATTAAAATACAATACATCAATAAAAGTAAACAATAGTAATAAAGTACACGATTGGCTGATTGTAGGTGGTCTACTATGTTATCACACAGGTGTTATCATGAGAATATAGTAATATAATCATGTACTAGTTGTTGCTTTGATAGATCTTAGGCCCAAACCAGGTGGATTTTAAAACGGAACATTTAATGACACTAAAACATAGTTACAAAGTACATACAGACATAAACAAAGAATAATCATACTAAGAGAGAGATGTTGGATTGGATTGAGGAAGAGAGGGGAGGCCCGGCAGGCCTCTGCCGATGGCCTACCTCACGTAACCAGGCCGTGTGTCAGAGCAGAGAGAGAAGAGAAGGGCTTCTAGCTCATATATACGTAAGATGACATCACGTCTAAGGTCACCCGCGATTGGTCAATGGGGTCAGGGAGGACACAGAGGTGTCCTTCATGCAGGTGGGCCTTAAGACAATGGTGCCCTCCAGGGAAGGGGAATAAATTAAAATTCACCACAACAACAGGTCATTATTTTTGTGGTTTGAAAGTTACGTATCCAGCTTTAACGATGAGCCCTCACTAATATCCCCGAAGTATTGAAAGGTCTCGTTTCCATGTTGGCTCACTCTTACAGGATCCAGGTGTGACGAGTGCGCTCCTGGTTATTTTGGCAATCCGCTGGTGCCCGGAGGCCGCTGCTTGCCCTGTCAGTGCAACAACAACATAGACATGCACGACCCGGGCGCCTGTGACACTCGCTCTGGGGCCTGTCTCAAATGCCTGTACCACACACAAGGCTATGGGTGTCAGCACTGCAGACTTGGTTTCTATGGCAATGCGGCCACTCAGAGTTGCAGGAGTGAGTGACTTTCTCCCTTATGAAAAACATGCTTCACTTTTCCAGCGAAACTCATTCTTTCTCTCCCGTAGAGTGCATGTGTAACTCTGTGGGCACCGTGCCACACGCCTGCTCCTCTCCTGACGGATGCCAGTGTGACCAGCTGTCCGGCCAGTGCCCCTGTCTACCAAATGTTGTGGGTCAAAACTGTGATCGCTGTGCACCGGATACCTGGAATATCACCAGCGGGAACGGCTGTGAGCGCTGTGACTGCCACCCCGAGCACTCCTTTGGGTCCTCCTGTGATATGGTGAGCTACGGAAATATACATACAATGACAAAATAACATCAATGTTTTCTATGCGCCGTATAGTCCAGACAAATTACCTAATTTTGGCCACAATAAAGTAATAAATGATAATAATTCAATGTATTTTTTGTATAGCCCTAAATCACAACAGCAGTCGTCTTGGGGGATTTTACAACATTTTAAATTTGCCAACCAGATCAGAGAATCATTCAGTTTGAACACAGAGGGTAAAAGTATTTTTGTCCAGAACAACATAGTAAAAGTCCTAAAACTACATCTCCAAATAATTAATATTTTTTCAGATTTTTTTTTTTTTATTATGTTCTTTACCCCTATCTTTACACCTATCAATGAAGCAGATGGTTTTGGATGTATCCAAACAAGATGTGTTTGTGTTAGTATGTTGTTCTGGACACCGTATAGAAAAAAAAAAAACTATCCAAGTGTGTCTCTCTTCTTCCTGGAATACTAGTGAAATAACTGGCTCAGGCTTGAGTCTGGAGAAGAAAATGTCAGTCTGATTTGTGATGTCCTTTTTTGAGTGGGCAAAGTCTAGTCTTGTGCTGATGCTTCTTCTGCCAAAATAGTCTTTGTGGAGAGTAGTTGTGATGAGCTAAAGTTTCCTCTGTATGGATTAGCTCTTTTTCTTTCCATTCTTTGTGTGATTTTTAGTTCTAGTCTCACAGGAAGTCCCCTCACTCAACCGGAGCAGTTAGACACTCACACCGAGTTTAGGTTTCCATGTTTATTGGCTCCGCTCCACCACTAGGAAGAAACTCTCACAATGTTTTGCAGTAATTGTTTTAGTCATTTTGTGGTTTTCTCCAGGTTTCTGGGCAGTGTTTATGCAATCCTGGCTTTGGCGGGAGGACCTGCCGGGAGTGCAGAGAACTGTTCTGGGGGAATCCAGAGCTCAAATGTCATGGTATGTATCTTGTTTAGTACATACATTAAAGGTATCATTGTGACATTGCATGTCAATGTATTTATATAATACATAGCTTGCGATACAAAAATACTTTTTTTCCAATGCCATTCGTAAAACCAGTAGTCTGCTCTCCAGGAAGAAAAGTAAAGTAAGGGAAGGGCTTTGGGGATCTTGGACTGACCCCTCATTCTCCTCATGAGAACCAGATGTGAGCAGAAAACTCCCAGGAAAACATTTTCGTCACGGTCCAACACCCAGAGGACCCTGGGATCCTGAATTATCTGTGCTGTATTTTGCAATGGTTTCTCAGGGCTTTGAGCAGCTGGGCTCCTCTTCCTGTCTGTGCTGCATAATCTACTTATTAAGAAATGTCAGCACAACCACTTTGGTAGTTTTTAATTGTTAATCATCAAGGTTTATCCAATTATATGTTTAAGGTATAATTGTATAGCGCCATTTGAAAACACAAATCCCCAAAGGTCATTTCTGAGCTGAAAATGAACAACTGCATTCCTTGCTCCTTACTCATACCATTTATGAAGTCAGTATGGCCATGCTTGGAAACAAGCTCATTCTTTATTCTTTGTATAATTAACATTCACATTTATTACTGAAATGAGAAAAAAAGCTGTTGTCACTTTTATTAAATGCCCATAAAAACGTTATGTTCATTAAAGTTCATCCAAAAAATAGTCTATTGTACACTTGTTTTTTGCAGCCTGTGATTGTGATCATCGGGGGATCTCCAGTTTGCAGTGCCATCGTGCCACGGGACAGTGTACGTGTGTGAAGGGCGTGTCGGGCCTCAGATGTGACAAATGTGCAAGAGGGTCCAGGGGGGTCTTTCCGGATTGTGAGCCCTGCCATGATTGCTTTGAAGGATGGGACACTATTGTCAATGAATTGACAAATCAAACTCAGCGTCTTGAGGCACAAGTGACAGAGCTTCAGACCACTGGAGTAACAGCACCATATAAAGAACTCGTCAACAGTTTAGATACAAATGTCAAGGCTGTCCAAGACATTGTGGAAAACAATCCAGCAGCAACCAAGCTGAATGAAATACAGAATTTACTGCACCAAATAACGTAAGTCACTCACTTGCAATATCTTTAGGTAATGTGAGCATAATCATGTTTTTATATTTCAGTGGTGTGATGTCCTTTATCAACGGGATGCTGAACACAACAAAGGGCACTTTGGATGTTTTAAATGGTGATGCTAACAACACAAACACTACTGTGGTAGAACTGGCAAATGAGGCCAAGAAGTTGGACCAAACTGTGAAGGAGCTCAGCCAGCAAGTATTTGATGCCAAAAATTCCAATCTACAAGGTAAATGAATGAAATATAATTGAACAAAATGGCAACAAGTGGCTGAAAAGTGACAATTTGACACATTTCTGTTTCAGGGGCCATGGACACTATTACTGAATCACACACGGTGTCTTCCAAAGCTGAGGCCCGTGCCAACGTCTCCACTACTATTCCTGGCAACACAGTGGAGATTTCAGGGGCTGTACGGAAAGCCATAGAAGACAAACTTAGCAGCAGTAAAAAAGAGTTTGATCGAAAGCACCAACGCAATTTGCAAAAGCTGGATAAGCTGGATGATGAGTTGAATACATTTGACCTGTCTCCACTAAGCACAAAGGTGCAATTTAACCAAATTACCATTCATAAAATTGCATTATTTAATCTCAACCATAATTTTTGTTTAATTATAGATGTGTGGAAGTGCAGTAGAAGGAGAGAGCTGCTCTGGCTCCCCCTGTGGTGGCTTAAGCTGCATGACCAAAGATGGGGAATCTAACTGTGGAGGAAAAGGGTGTGAAAGTCTTATGACAACATCCCAAACTGCTTTGAAATCCGCCAAAGATTTAGACAAAGATATTGATGCCGCCATGCAGGAGGTGGACAAACTATCAAAACTGGTAAACAAGCAATTTAGTAAGTCATTTGTTAAATGATATTCGGAATTCATTTATAGCCACATCTTCTTACAGGTGTGGGATGCCAAAGTTCGAGCAGATGAGGCAAAGATAAATGCTGTGGAGGTGCTGAAGAAATCAAATGAAAGCAAAGAAAGAGTTGAGCAAAGTAACAACCAACTACGAGAGCTTATCAAAGAGATCCGTGACCTTCTGTCCAGTAAGCAGCAACATTATAAAACAGATACATGAATTCATTATTTGTTCTGTAACATGTGTTTGTGTACTGTACAGATGAGAAGGCAGACCTCTCTGTAATTGAGGCTGTGGCTAATGAGGTGCTGGCTCTGCAGATGCCAGCTTCTACAGAGAAGCTGCACGAGCTGACACAAGAGATAAAGGAAAAGGTGGGCAGCCTCACCAGCGTGGAGAGCATCCTCACACAAAGTGCTCTGGACATCAGCACTGCAGAAACACTTCTTAAGGAGGCAAAGGAGGCCAGGTAGGGGAAATGTTTGCTATGTTCCATTGTACAGAATTGGAGGAATTTCATTAATGCAATTTTTGTGCCGTCCACAAATCTGTAAGTATAAAGTATAACTAAACCAATGTGTTTACAATAGAGGACACTGGTTGCTGGTGCTCAGCTTTGATTATTCTTATGCTGAGGTTTAGATAGAGACCAAACACACTGGATTTCACCAAAGAAACTGGCAACCCAATGTAAGGTGCATTCTGCTGATTGGATACTCACATCGAGAGAACCATGACTGTGGATATTAATTTGTATATAATGACAGAAAAAGGATACATCAACATTACATTGTTTATCCGGAGGCACCTATTTTTCGTCATTATGTGTACTCTATGCATTTGTCCATTAACTACATTTTATATTGATATGTGCAAACAAAACTGAACAGACGGGAAAAAAAAAACATTTGCCATTGTGTCACTTCACCCACATTCTCCTGATGAGTCTGGTGTGTGCGTGAATGATTGGTGGTGGCTGGAGGGGCCAGTGATGCAGACCGGTTGCCTTGCCTGTCAGTCTGCCCCAGGACAGCTGTGGCTATTGTAGTAGCGTATCACCACCGTGTAAGAATTAGGGTTATATGGTTAAATGGTTAAAAAATAATACCATGTGGAATGTATTTTGATATATTTTCAGACCTACTGTAGCTAGCGTCCAATAACCGTTGATGTGACATACTGCATATATAATCTCATACATATGTCAACTCTTACAGTAACAAGGCGTCTGACACGCAGGAGAGAGCAGATGTTGTGAAAGTGGCTTTAGAAGAGACTGAGAAGGCACATAATACTGCCGTTGGTGCTATACAGTTGGCTCAGAACAACACGAAGAGCACACTGGACCTGCTTATCTCAGTAAGATGGTTTTCAGATAAATATTTGACAACATTGAGCTTAATACTTAAATCAAGATCGGGATGTCATTTAGGTGGAGTCAGAAACGGCAACATCAGAGCTGAAACTGAGCAACACTACAGGCCGCCTGGTTCAACTAGAACGAGAGGTCGGTTTCTTACGGCAGACTAACCTGGAAGTAAACAGCCTGGTGGAGACTGCAGATGTGACCAGCGAGCAAGCCAAAGAGAGCGCAGACCAAGCTGAACAGGTCTACTCCAATGTCTTTGTTCACTTTACACTTAATAAATGCAAGAATTTGGCTCAACATGTACATAAACACACAAAAGCATTTATTCTACCTCAGTGCTTTCTGGGCACTGTTGAAATTGCATGTGATTGTAGGCGGTTTAATGAGGCCTCACACTGCCATCGTTACATGGCTTTTTAAGAACCATATGTAGATTTTGCTCTTACTGGTTGTATTAAGTATAAACATAACTAAACATCTGTTGCCAGTTTTAACCGCTGAGTACATAATTGTGATGCGGGTGAAGTGAGGTATACAGCAGTTGAATATGTATAATCAAGAATAAATCTGCATAGTGGTCTTAAAATAAAACCTCTTCTCTGCATAAGTCTAAGAAAAAATTATATTATGGAAATAGTTGTTAATTAATTTAGTAATCAATTAGTTGTATTCACTTATTTGGCCACTTACTGGCCCGTTCCATGGTCAAATCATGTATTTGTTGAATCGTGGTGTTTCATCATCACAATAACTTCAAGTCTAAAGTGTGAAGTTCCTTTCAGAATCATTTTGTGTTGGGCTTTCATATAAATCACAAATAAATAATACAAATAGGGGTATGAATATTTCTTCCTAGGACCCAAATAACCCTGTCATTTTAAATCAACATCTTGCACACATCTGCCTCAAAGCTACACGGACATAAAAATGTTTTCGTCTTGTTTGTGTCTGCGTAAAAGGAGTTTAACCTAGAGGTGAAGGACAGAATTGAAGACGTCCAGGACCTGGTTGAAGATAAAGGGGAGTCTGTGCTTCAGGCGAGGATACGAGCTGATGAGCTGCAGCAGGAGGCCAAAGAGCTGCTGGCCCAGAGCAGTAGCAAACTCCAGCGACTCAAGGGTAAACAACATTTATTTAAAGCCATATTCAAGCAACACGAACGCCTAATGTCTGTTCTGTCTTCTTTTTCAGAGTTGGAGACCTCTTATGGGACCAACCAGAGGATTCTCGAGGACAAAGCCGCAGAGTTGGCAGAGTTGGAGGAAACAGTCCGTCGAATCTTGGAAGAGATCAGCTACAAAGTGACACTGTACAGCACCTGTGTCTGATTTACAATATTGGACCAGAAATGTATTGAAGTGTTGGCTGGGAGTTTCAAAGCACCCATAACATTCAGGACACTATAAATCATCACCCTTTTTAATCACAGAACATGATACAAGCCAAATTACAAGTAGTGCAATGAATGTATGACTCCCCGTAAAGTAGAAAGTTGAAAAAAGCCAAAACCGTTTTAAAATGTGCTCATCACTTACATATTTTATTGACGAGAATGGCATTTTCACACATTGTTATCTGAACGCACAAAATAAACTTGACAACTGAAAGCACAATTTCATAGGCATCTGTGTGAAAGTATTTTTTTATAGACACAATGTTGACGAAGGAGCTGGGAGTCTGTGACATTAAACTCTGAATAAATTCACTGTGGTACAAAAATAGCCCAGAGTTTCAATCTTATGTCAAAATATGGATTCAATATAAAGTTTACACTAGATGACTTAAGTTTATACTGGATCACTAAACATCAACAATTAAAAGTGCGTAAGTATCCAACATGATAAATCATCTATATTGGAAATTTACCCCAATCACAGGTAAATAAAGCAATGTTAATTTAATAAAACAGACAAAACTCCTCATCCACAAACTGTAAATGAATGTGTTTAAGGCCAGTGTACGAGCAGTGGGTGTCTCAGTCCCTGCTCCGGGGGTTATGTGGCGGAGGGGCTCCTTCCACTGGGGCAGAACTGGGCACTGAGTGTAACTGACCAGCATGTATGCGCTCATTGACCCGCAACTGACATCCGTCCTGAAGCATCCGCAATGCGATTCGGGCAATGTTTTTAGAATCATCCAAACCAGAGTGTGGGCGGCCTTCATACTTCAGACCCAAATTATCCAACATTGTACTCAGCTTCGTCTGTGGCCGTGGGACCTAAGAGAAGACAATTGACAAATAAATTAATAACATGAATTTATTAATTAAACTGCCTTTCTTAGGTTACATCCACACAGTCAGCTCAGTAAACATGAACGAAGTGAATACGCTGTGAATAGTTAGTCGGCTTACTAGCTTCAGGAGGATACACACAATACTGTACGTCGCCATTGTTTTTATGTTTTAAGTGTGGTGTATGCGTGTTAGCCAGAAGCCGGGGTGTTGATACAACAATTTCAGAATTTGTGCAGTGAGACAGAAACCACAGAGCAGCGCATAGTTTTGTCCACTCTAGAAACTGGTCTTTATAGATCCCCTAAACATTGTTATTTTACTTTTAGGCTTGAATTTGACTTTGTGTGGACAGGGTCTTAGTCAACCAAGTCTTTTATTTGAATTACAAGACTTTTGATGTGGAATTTGGCATTTCTTCTGATATTCAAGCAAGAACTCTGAATTCACATGTTTTATCAGTATTGTCTATCAATCACTTAAATAATGAAACCAGTAAGAACAATTCTTCAGAGACGTGCTGTCTAAATAGTTGTTTTCAATAAGGGTCCACAAACAATATGGGTTAGAAAATGACATTTTTAGAGCATCTGGCACTACCCCGTATCAGCTGACAACGCAATCGACAGGGCAAGGGTTTTGTTGAACAAGACTTTTAGTCAATTATAAATCAATAATACTTGATATAGCATTTTTCACTATATTTTTAAAAACCCACTAGTCAGTCTCATATTCATCCACACATACACAAAACAAAGTGGGTGGAATGCCAAAGTCCTTTCAAAATAACTTGGATCTTACCTTATAAAAATTTCCATAGGATTTCCTTATATTAATCCATTTTTTTGCAAACTGAGGGTATCGGATACAACTCAGGCGGCACTGGATGTTTAGAAACTTGCTCATGTCCCAAGCCCTATGAAATAAAAAGTAATTAGTCAAAAGTGCAAGAAAAAAATACTTTGAATAGATAAATAATAGATAAATACCCATCAGTCAGAATGGCATATTTGTATTTTGTCCCAAGCTCCCGTTCTTGAAGCCATGCTACGGCTTTCTCAAGGACCCTTGGAAAAGTGTCCGCTTCATCTACCATTTTCTGTTACACAAAGGTGCTGCATAAACAAGCCAATATATAACAACACAGTCATCAAGGGAACATTTACCAACCTGTGTGATCCCAGTGAGATTTATACAAAACTCAGACAGTTGTGGATTTAATTCTGGTTTAACATATTCCTGGAAAGTGTCCACCTGAAGAGAAGGAAGCATGTTCAACAACACCACAAAGATAACGTTTAAATTGAAATAGAAAATAAGCATAACTCACAATTTCTAAAGTCTCTGTGCTAACAAGAACCATTGGGAACTCAATAATTTCGTGCTTGAAGCTTGGCGGGTTATCCCTTTCACAAGTTGCTTCAAAGTCTACAACACAGATATAGTCGTAGTACTTGTCAATAGGAACTCCCTCCTCGGCAGCAGACTGCAGTTTCTGCTTCTTGTAGTGGCTCTTCAACCTCTTCTTCATCACATCTTTTACACCTCTAAAAAGACAAGCCATGAGTTAAAATGATGCAAGTTCAAAACCATTACACACATAAAAAAAACGTAATTGTGAAAAAATAGCGTGCAGGTGTATAGCGTGTACCTTGTGTCAAGCTTTAGATCAGACAGTTTCCTTCTAAGCTCTTCCATGGACATACGATTGATCTGCCCATTAGCCATAGCTATTTCTTTATACACAGGATGGCTGTAGTCTCCATTGGGCGGAGGGGATGTAGACGTGTTGGGGACAGAGTCTTCACCAGCACATATCCTGAGACAAGACTTGAATAATGAAAACAACAGTTATTTTCTTAACCGTGACTCAGTAAATGATTGCAACAAGAGATGGCAACTATAAAAGGACCGAGTCGCTAATGCTACACGTGTAACTTTGGGTGAATGACACACGCTAGATCGCTTTCTTGTATAAATCAGCGTCAAAGGCAAATAAAGGACAACACCGACCTGGTCTTTATCGTGTCTGAGCACATCAGACATGTTCAGCCTGATGTTGTCTGTATAAATGTTCTCCTTGTGGTCGTCCATCCAAAACACAGCCGCGATCCAGTGAGTCCCTGCTTAAGTTCAGCTGTTTATGCTGCTTACAAACCGTGTAAGACAAAACACGAATACGCTCACGTAAACAACCAAGCCCGTCTTACATGAGACCAAAGAAGAGCGTACACAGTGGCAAAATGCGACAAAACGAGCTGTATTTGGTAAAGTTTAGGAAAGCGCGCTGTTCGTGTGAGGTCAGTCCTGCAACTTCCGCCGGAGTCTGAAGAGGGAAGCGCGCCCCGTCTGGACAGGAGGTGCACTACAACATCACATAGGTTTGTTTACTTGTTATGTCATGTAACTGATGTGTTGTGTGTATGTGCCAATTACTTGCATTGTAAATGGCATATATTGTTCTATTGTATCCAATGGTTCTGTATATTTAACTGGTGATTATTTATTCTGTCCATATTTAATATTTACAGTCTATGGCCCACATCCAAGCCATCAGTGCACGCGTTTAAGGAACATCATCTACATAATAACAATTGTGAATTACATTAGCTTATCTTATATTGAGAGCTCCTTTCATACTCTCCTGTGACATGCACTGCAACACCAAAATGTCCCACTGTGGGACAAATAATTCTCTTTTCCTTTTTAGTTATAAAAGTGTAATAACAATTCTGTATCAATCTCAGTATCTATATTGAATTATTACATACTTATTTTATCATTATTAATCATAATTATTTGTTGTCAAGGGAATTATTTCAAGACACAAACCAGATCATTTTTTTCTTATGCCATTTGATGCCGTATTGTAATTAAGTTTACTCTCTCTCTCTGCTTCACAAATAAAACACAATAAATGGACCAAATGGGCTTATTAAATGCACAATAAAGGGAATTTAAACTTGAAACCATAACAATGTGTTTTACCCAAAGTCAAATTGTTTGAGTAATTCTTTATTTTCCTACATTCAAAAGAGTTTTAGCGCTATTTAAAAATGTGTAATTTAAAGCCCACGTCAGCTATGATTAAATGCAACAATGAGGATCATTGTTATATTTGTATCTACTTCATGTAATGTGGTAGATACAAACCAAAATACTGCAAAAACAGCAGAAATGTTTCATTAAAAAAAAAAAAACAAGCGACTCTCTGGAACATGCCCTTCATCTCCAGTAATACCATAAGAGATTATAGAGCGATCATTGATCATAATAGAAGAGATTTCCAAATGTGAGGTCAGGTTTGCGGAGAGGCAACATCTGCTTCATGAGGGCCATAGAACATGGGGGGAAAAGCAGAACAAATATTTTCAAATTAATCAAAAAGATAGCTTTCAGTTTATATATTTATTTTCTTGAAAAATAATAAAGAAAGTGAAAACCACCACAGAATTAGAATTTCTTAAAACATGTTAAAATCTAAATAAAATCAGTTGTGAGAAATCATTTTAAAATCCCTCAAAAAGGCTGATTTGTTTCAGATTATGGGCTTGAGAAAACATACATTTTATTACCCACACAAAACAATAGAAAGAGTGAAGGCATCGGTCTCAGGATCATGTTAGAGTGCAATGCTACATTGTTTAAATCTGAGTCTTGGTGCATTCATGTAAAATTGACTTTAAAAAGATACTTATTCATATTATTTATTTAATTAAGTCAACCTTCTCAAAAGTTTAAAGCAAATAACGTAAGTCTGCTTAAACAAAATATACAGCAGCATGTCTTCAGTCAGTACTCATAACAAACCCTTTCCTCTTGCAACATAAATGGAGCAAGACACAAAAGGCTTCTTGTTAGTTTGTTTGGTTCACTTTGTTCAAGATCTATGTAAAAAAGATCAATCACTGGTGTCGCACAGGATCCTCTGCTCAGCAGGAGGTGATGACAAGACCAACAACAGTCAAATCAAACGGCGCTGCTCCCTTGTTCTTAAACACTTTGTGTTGGATAGAAAAGGTTAAAAATCCATCTTTTCATTTGTAAAATTGTGGTGTAGCACCTGTTTAACACTGAATTAATCAGTCAAGCAGTGCAATAAACAATTGTCCTGAGCATTACTGCAGTTTGAAAATAAATATGTATTTTTTAACATTTGATAGAATTAAAGAATATTGTATATATCTTTTCTATTCTGTTCTTCCCCATATCACAAAGTTATGATCAAACAAAGCACCAACACGTAGACATAGATCAAACAGAGTATAGAAGGCCATAGGACTAAAAGAAACACCACAAATATATGAACAGCACAAGACAGATACAAACCATATAAAGCAACCTTTAAAAACGTATTAAAGCAGGCGTATGACTGTTTCCAGCACATGGATGACACAATGCCAGTAATAATCACTCCACCCACTGAGAATGCTAAATCTAAATTTACCCAACATATCTTTATTTGGTCCAGTGTACAACTGAAGTGAATTGCTCAACATTTGCACCATTCTCCAACAGTAAATATAAAATTACATATAGTGGAGAACAGAAGTTTATATTGTGTAAAAAGGACATACAATGATGTAGTTCTCATGTTTTAGGTCGGTTTTATTTTAGCAAAATTATGTCTATTGGGTCAACCCCAAAATATTGAAATATGTATCTGTTCTGAATTACTCAGTTTAGAAGAATTTAGAAGCACTATGTATATATATGACAGAAATGTAACTTCAGACAGTGAGAAAAAAATAATATCTCCGTGTATGTAAACTTCTGGTTTTCGACTCTATATTGATTGTTTCTGTGTAAGTTTTGAGGGCAGCTCGATGGTTACTGTAGGCTACCACTTGGTAAGTATGTTGCATGCAAAGCTTGGAGCCAGTGTGGAGAGTGAGTTCATGGAGAAAAGTGCTGGTATAGCAGCTAAGGCTGCATGTACATCTGTATTAGTCTCTTCTCTGCAACATGTCATCTCTTGAGGGACAGTTCATCGGCCTTTTCATTTCCAAGTGTAGTTTTCAACTCAAGGTGGAAGCAGAAGTTTTTCTACAGCAAACTGTAAATGGTCCCAATTCTTCCAGACCAGAGCCAGCACAGACACCCCCATACAGGTGAGGGCCAGGTGGAGGCGGCTTCTCAGCAGCGGGGCAGTAAATTTTGCAGCTGTGGAAACACACACCAGGATGACGGTGACAATGGCCAACATAATGTTTATGCATTTCCCCAGAAGCACTTTTGCATCTGCATTTTCCAGCTGCACGGTCTGCTGCTGCTGCTGCTGCTGAAGCTCCAGTTTAGACACTCGAGTCTGGCACGACTCCAGGGCTTCCTGTGGACAACATACCAATACAAACACACGTGAGACATCATTATAGATACAAAAAATGCAACTATTCGGCTGGTATAATATCTTTCATATAGACGTAACATATTTATGTTACGTCTATATGAATATGTACAAGAAATGTGTACAAAAGATATGTATTAATTTGCCCATCCATTTTTTGCGCCCTCTACTGGAGAATACACATAATAACAGCATAAAGGCAGCTCCAGGTGAGCACCACTCAGATAAGCCCCACAACACTGATAAATTCACTTATGTTATTCGCTTTTCTGATGTAAATGCAGAAATTTGTACATATAACTTGGATTGACAACAAGTGTATAAGTAGGGAATAACCAAAGGTAATGGGGATGATTTATTTAGTTATTTAGTAGTCATCTTATTTGTGGGCCAACATTTTTGTTTCTTACCAAATCATAACGCAAGTATTTTACCTGTGTGTCCCGGGCGCGCTCATAGGCCTGGTAGGCCACCTTTTCCTCGATGCTGGCAAGCTCCTGTTTCAGGTTGCTTGTCTCATTCTGGTGGAGCTCTGTGAGGTCATTGAGCTCTTCCTCTAACTGCCGGTACCTGTCAGACAGAAACACCCACACACATGAAGGAACCAGCGGAGGCAGAAAGTGTGAGAGAAGCACAATGCATAATGGACTGTGTGGGGGAGTAAAGCATAGCAGCAACCACTACAACCTCAATGAGCCAGCTGAAATCTGTCCTTGTGTCATGAATAGTGGTTTGGGGATTTTTAACATTTATAGTGTGTGGTCTGAGCACACAAACATACATGATAATAGTATATGCAATAGCTAGAACATATTATCAAATACTGCACTTAATTTGCTTTTGGTTATGTTAACTATCATAGTTCCAAAACATCTTGGTTCTCACCTGTATCTCTCATCCTGTAGCATTTGTGTCAAAAAGCCTTGGTCCCGTTTGAATTGCGTACTCAGATTTTCAATGTCCTCTGACAGCTGTGCCTGGGCCTCCCTGAGTTCCCGGACCATCTCCAGGACTTCCTCCAGACGCCCGTTTGACTCTGGCCGTCCTGGATCACCAGAGCCTGTCCCCGACCCCCCGGCAGCGTTACCGGTGGAGTCAGCAGAGCCGGACGAGGCGATGGAGCATTCATCGTCACTTTGATACTTAGTGGCTTTGGCTACAGTGGTGGCACTTCCACTCAGGCCTCGAGCAGCGCCCTCTACCTGCAGACCTGACCCCGTTTCCATGGAGCTCTTGAGGTGGGCGATATTGTCAGCACTCCCAAATTTGTTTCTGATGAGGTTCGCAAACTCTCGTGGTTTGTTGAAGAAAAAGGGCGGCGACAGTGTCACTCCAGGACCGATGGTTTTCACTTTGTCCAGAGTGTGATGCCGTCCGGTCGCACTCACGTCTCGGAGACTGCCCTCCTTACTCTGCATGCCGCTCTCCTTTGGGTTCCCATTCTTATGGCCGTGTTTGCCATTGCTCTCGCGGTCTTTCAGGCGTCGATGGTACTGTTCCAGTTTTTTCTGAAGCCGGTTGATTGTGTGAACGGACTTCTGGTTTTTCTTTTCAAAGATTTGGCGTATTCGTTGGACCTGCTGCTTTTCGGCGTTGTTCATAAGTTTCAAGTACTCGGCCACGTTCTCATCTCGTGCCACTTGTTCCACTTTTATCTGCTCTGTTACCTGCATAGAAATGCAAAGTTACAAAAAAAATCAGTTCTACTTTTGAAGAGTCGTGCAGAGTAGTACTGTCACAAGTAATATTGGATATTGAACATCAAATAACTAACAGGAGGTGGAAACGCCAAGTATCCCATTTAGAACCCAGCTGCCGTTCCCAGGTAACGAAACTTCCAGATATGCTTTCAAACACTTTCATTGGATGAAAGCAACATTTACAAATATACACATTTTATTTGTATGGAAACACAGTGACATGTTTAAATTTAAGAACAAACCAATATCTGATCCAAACAAAGCAAAACACAGCAGAGGTTTAATAATTTCTGTATAGTTGACTGTATTTTAGTGATAGACTCCAAACCAGTTGTCACTATGGTGGCAAACGAATGGGGATTTGTACCAAATAAACCAAATAAACATCTGATCCAGGTCTAACTAAAAGGACAGTGGTGATGATCCAGGACACTCAACTCAACATTCAACAACATTTATAAACATTGCTCATCTGCCCCTTATGGACCAATGACGCTATGTGTTTTTATTGTTGCATTTCTTGTGTTGAACTGTCGATTTTCTGATCTGTATTGGATTGCTGATAAACGGTATATATGAGTGTCCAATAGTGTCGTGTACATATCCCCTCCCCCCATTCCTCCAGGCTACGCCCATTTGGAGGAAGATTTGAAAAGGAAATGTGAGTGACGTAGGCCCTCGAGGAGCAGGGGTGAGAAGTTCTTTAAGTCCTCCGAGATAACTACTGTTGTGATTTAGGGCTATACAAGAAAATGTTTTATTGAATTGAAATGTATTAATAATATCCAAAAGATAAATTTAAGATATTAATGACATGATATTGACCTCATGAAAAAGTTAATAAACAACTCAATAAGGATTTTTAGAAGTATTGAAATAAGACTTCTAAATGTAGTATTGTGACAACACTAGAGTAGAAAGTGGCCCATTAATTCATGGGTGAAAGCTTTGAGCTGCAGACACAATATAAAGAGTAATTTGAATAGTTTTTTCATCTCGGACCTTTAGGATCTTCTGCTGTAGACTGTCGATACCCAGCGCTCCCTTTGTGAAGTCCAAGCCCACCCCCTCATCTCCAACACTGTTCACCACATCCAGGTTGGACTCAGATCCGCCACGGCGCATGGGAACAGGGATGCTTAGGATGTTGGCATCGGAGCCATAACGTTCTGCCTGAAACACAAACATGAGACAAAACCGATTAAAATCAGAATCCTTATTGCCGTTGTAAGAAACAGTCATGGTATGTGGTGCAAACAAGTAATAAAATAGTCAAAATAAGATTGCATGCATAATATTCTAATAAATAAAACACACCACATTTAAAAGTGTGATTATCAATAAGTGTCCACAGGTATGATACGATAACTTATCACCGGGATCCAGTGATGAGTTATGGAGTGTACATGTATACAGTGCCTTGCGAAAGTATTCGGCCCCCTTGAACCTTTCAACATTTCGCCACGTTTCAGGCTTCAAACATAAAGATATAAAATTTTTATTTTTTGTCATGAATCAACAACAAGAGGGACACAATCGTGAAGTGTAACGAAATTTATTGGATAATTTAAACTTTTTTAACAAATAAAAAACTGAAAAGTGGGGCGTGCAATATTATTCGGCCCCTTTACTTTCAGTGCAGCAAACTCACTCCAGAAGTTCAGTGAGGATCTTTGAATGATCCAATGTTGTCCTAAATGACTGATGATGATAAATAGAATGCACCTGTGTGTAATCAAGTCTCCGTATAAATGCACCTGCTCTTTGATAGTCTCAGGGTTCTGTTTAAAGCGCAGAGAGAACCATGAAGACAAAGGAACACACCAGGCAGGTCCGAGATACTGTTGTGGAGAAGTTTAAAGCCGGATTTGGATACAAAAAGATTTCCCAAGCTTTAAACATCTCAAGGAGCACTGTGCAAGCAATTATATTGAAATGGAAAGAGTATCAGACCACTGCAAATCTACCAAGACCCGGCCGTCCCTCCAAACTTTCATCTCAAACAAAGAGAAGACTGATCAGAGATGCAGCCAAGAGGCCCATGATCACTCTGGATGAACTGCAGATAACCACAGCTGAGGTGGGAGAGTCTGTCCATAGGACAACAATCAGTCGTGCACTGCACAAATCTGGCCTTTATGGAAGAGTGGCAAGAAGAAAGCCATTTCTCAAAGATATCCATAAAAAGTGTCGTTTAAAGTTTGCCACAAGCCACCTGGGAGACACACCAAACATGTGGAAGAAGGTGCTCTGGTCAGATGAAACCAAAATCGAACTTTTTGGCCACAATGCAAAACGATATGTTTGGCGTAAAAGCAACACAGCTCATCACCCTGAACACACCATCCCCACTGTCAAACATGGTGGTGGCAGCATCATGGTTTGGGTCTGCTTTTCTTCAGCAGGGACAGGAAAGATGGCTAAAATTGATGGGAAGATGGATGGAGCCAAATACAGGACCATTCTGGAAGAAAACCTGTTGGAGTCTGCAAAAGACCTGAGACTGGGACGGAGATTTATCTTCCAACAGGACAATGATCCAAAACATAAAGCCAAATCTACAATGGAATGGTTCACAAATAGACGTATCCAGGTGTTAGAATGGCCAAGTCAAAGTCCAGACCTGAATCCAATCGAGAATCTGTGGAAAGAGCTGAAGACTGCTGTTCACAAACGCTCTCCATCCAACCTTACTGAGCTTGAGCTGTTTTGCAAGGAAGAATGGGCAAAAATTCCAGTTTCTCGATGTGCAAAACCGATAGAGACATACCCCAAGCGACTTGCAGCTGTAATTGCAGCAAAAGGTGGCGCTACAAAGTATTAGTGCAAGGAATAATATTGCACGCCCCACTTTTCAGTTTTTTATTTGTTAAAAAAGTTTTTAACTGTTGCTAATACATTTGGTTCCACTTCACGATTGTGTCCCACTTGTTGTTGATTCTTGACAAAAAATTAAATTTTTATATCTTTATGTTTGAAGCCTGAAATGTGGCGAAATGCTGAAATGCCGAATACTTTCGCAAGGCACTGTATATAAGTAAGTGCAGAAGGGATAGCTTTTTTTCCTTTTTGGCAAAATGTATGCTCTTTAGGCATAAGTCCCCTTCTGAAATTCAACTCAACAATAGAACATTGACACACAGTACTAGTACTATTGCAACAGCACATCCTCAGTGGGGTAAAACTAACCTGTCTCACAAAAGTAGACAATGTGGAGGAAGAATCTTTTTTAATAAACCAGTTTAGCAGATTTAAGGTATGAATTCTAATTTGTCATTTGAGCAATATACAAAAATACACAAAACGACTGACCTACCCAGAAGGGATATTCTGCCAGGTCTTGTTTTTTTGTCTTTTTTTAAAATACATTTTGAATTCATTTCTCATTGGCAAACAAAAACACACAACCACACAGGTCCAGGAAGACAAAAACCAAATGCAGATAGCTTCATGAAGGCACCACCAACAAAAGTCATAACCTAATGTCTGTGTTTGTGTTCATCCGGGAGCTGAAGAGATTTATTGACTCTGGAAATCAATTGAGTCAGTTCCGTTTGATCAGTTTTTGACAAAATGCAAACAAATGTATGTGTTTGTCCTCATGGCGTCTGTGGATGGTCAGAGCCAGAATCACTGTCAAACCTGCCAGTCCTACTTCTGATGCTTAATACAAGTGTTATGGACATGATCTAGTGTCAAAGACCATTAGCACAAGCATATTACCTGTGTATTGTGACTGAAACCCGCGTCACTGCATGACAGCAATGTGTGAGAGTCATATTTTGGGCTGACCAGCGCCTGGCCGCGTGGCTCAGAGTGCGGCGCGTGCATTGTGCATTCTCCATGCTTCTAAAACGGCCACGTATCTTTATACAGCGCTACGGCACCCTTTGCTGCACACTGCTGAGTGTGCCTTTCCGCTTCAAAAGACACGTGCGGTAAGTATAGGGGATGTAAGGTACAGCAGGCGTTGGAGAAAACAAAACAAGAGAAAAAAAGAAAGAAAACGCAATTTTGCTAGCTGGGGATTGCTGGATGTCCAGCAGTCATCACAACTACCTCCAGGTCACAGCCCAAATCAGGGGATACTTAGAATAAATAAAAATTTGCATATATAATTTATATATATGAATATAATTAAATGTATACGTATATGTGTGTGTGTGTGTGTGTGTGTTGGTGTGTATATATATATTTTTTTATTTACTTGTATGATACATAATAAAAAATCTGTGCCCCGTGCTTTTGCAGAGCATATAAAACTAATCAACAGCACTGACACAATTGATTTACAAAATCAATAAATCTATTCAGCTCAAGAATGAACACAAACACTCCCAGAAAGAGAAAAGGAGATGTCTAAATATTAAAAGTCACAACCCTTTGTAATGCTGTGATTCCGCTGTGAAAGAACACAGATATGCACACACAACACAATAAAAAGTGCCATTTAGAAGCTTAATTTTGAGTTTGACTTGGCAATGCTACACGGTTTCAACTGACTTGAGAAAACACACAGATGAGTGTTAGTGTGTGACCGGGCTCTAAAACACTGCTGTGAAAACTCATTCACAAAGAGAAGTGCTTTGACTCACCATCATTAAAATCAATGAACCTTCAATTCAATTTAAACCAATCAACATGTTAAACATAGCACATGGTGTGAGAATGAATTATGCATGAAAACTCCTGCTGCTGTAATCAGTGTTATACAACGTTAAGATTACATGTAGTGTGTAGGCAGCAGACAGTCACAGCACACTGCTTTGTACAATAATCACATTATCCCTTTTCTTTGAAAAGCCATTCTGCTTTTGTTCTTGATTGTCGTGTATCTTCCTCTGGATGGACTCATTTTATTTAATACAATTAAGATTAGTTTTGAGAATAGGTTTGATAAAAAGGAAACAATAGAGAAACTAAACCCAGAAAAATATGCACTGCAATATAGAAATGTAGAGACAACGAGGGCTAAACAAAACATGAATATGTTGAATAACTCGAAATGTCTTGAAGTTAAAGTTCTGACATTGTTGAAAATAATAATAAGAAAAATTACCTCCCACACAATGGTGGCCTTGAGGCTCTCGGTAATAAAATTGTAAAAACCAGGCAAAATGTGTATATATTTGTCGAACAACATGTGTGTACGCAAGTCTATAGGCAGGACTAAGAACTACTGGATGGCTAGAGCTGAAATTTGGTGTGTGATGGCAGGAAGATCCCAATAAAATGTTGGGATAATCCGTGGCCTATCTAACTAGTGCACATTCTAGTTACATATTTCGATGTATTCCCAACAAAACAAATGTTAACATTGCCCTATTGCCTTAACATTGGCTGTAACAAACCACAGCCTCTCCCTTGGTCATATATTTACATGATGCTTTATTCAAATCACAGCAGAAAACAAAGACTGTATTATAACACGTAAAGCACAAGGCTAGAGGTGAGATGAGGCGCTCTCCTCATGTGAACGAGCTGTGCCTGAAGCAGACTGTCCCGCAGGACTGCGCACTGAACCACCAAGAGAAAACACGCTTTGAATACGATATACAAAAAGACCTGCTGCGGCGAACACACACATATTGTGTACAAGTCTCTCCATGGCCTCGCACCAAAATACACAAGTGACATGTTAGTGCCATATGAATCGGCCTCGACTCTGAGGAGCACAGGGACTGGACTCCTGTTAATGCCCAGAGTCAGGACTAAACATGGGGAGGCTGCTTTTCAGATTCATGCAGCGAAAATCTGGAGCAATCTTCCTGAAAGTGTGAGACAGGCCTCCTCTCTTACAATGTTTAAAACAAGGTTTAAAACAGTTCTGTTTAGCTGTGCATACAACTGAGGGATTTTATATTTGTATCTTTCTTTTTAATGTACTGTGACTATTTATCATTTTATTTTATCTTGTCTTGTTCAGCACTTTCAGTTGCCTTGTGTATGAATTGTGCTATACCAATAAACTTGCCTTGCCTCGCCTTTTGGTGAAACGTTATGGACTGAATAAATGCCATTGTAATGCTGCTTATGTTGTGTTCAAGGCAACTAAAATATTTCCCACCTCTGATTTGAAATAATACCTGGGCTGGAACACCATTTAAACTGGGTATAATTCCCACTTGGGAGATGATGCAGAGGCTCCCACTTCACCAGTTCAACCGTCACAT